TTATCTCCCTTTTTTGTGCATGTGGCCACACTAGATGAAGTAGTCTTGGCAAGTTTCTTTTGACATTTGTTGAAGGAAGCGATGGTTGAATGCGAAGAGGGGAAGAGTTTTGGTGTCAACGGGATAGAAGCTTGGATTGCCAGTTTGGACAGCTTCGTGGCTCACCCCTATGTTGATTATGTGCCCCATTCCATTCCATTCTGTGTGGGAAATGACGTTGCCGAAGGGGGTGATGAACAGCGTGCTGTTGGTGCTGATAATCTTGTGGTCAGGGCTGCTTGCCTGGTGCTATGGCCTGGGGTCCTCGGTTATTTGGACAGGTCAAGGCCCAGTCTAGTGCTTACCATCCGGACCGCCTCCTGCACTAATTTGGTTATGACTGCCTAGGCTTGCAGTTCCTCATACATGGGAGCGAGGATGTGTTCTGGCAGTAGCATAATGACCTTGCGTTTGTCGGTGTTTCTTGTTTTCCATTGGCGGGGTATAAGCGCACTAAAGTTTGTAGCTCACTATGCCGTGGCTATCTTTGCGCATTGCTCAGTTGATTTCAAATGTTCATGGTGGTGGAGCCTCGTCTGAGGCATGTAATGGCTCCCCCACTGGGTCATGCTGTGGAACAAGCCAAGGCGGGTTTGTCTGGTGTGTAGGGTCCACTGCACACATCCGCTCCAATTGCCCTGCTTGACACGGAAGTGCGATTGCACAAAGGGAAGCAAGTTGTGGTCGAGGAAGGGGAGAGTAGCTAGCCTGCCTTGTTCAGTTAGGTAGACCCGTCCTTTTCTATTAGGGGCGACGAATATGAGTATTCCACTGGCGGGCCCTCGACTTGGGGTATAGGACCCTGTTCGTGGAGCCAACATTGAGGGTGTTCCGGTCCATGTTCTGGTTGATGCACCTCGCGAAGATGACGTTCCAACCCAAGCTTAAGTAGGATTTGGGCAATCAACAGGGGATTCTCTGCCACTTGTTTCCGATATAGCGGTCCTGGTCACGGGTGGCCGTGTGAAGAAAATAACCCCTCGTGTCCGTGAATGGGGGACGAAGTCATCTGCATTGGTAAGCGTACTAACAATTGACTCAATTTATCATTCGAATTTCATTTCTTTTTGTCTGGACTAAATGTGTATTTGCAATCGTTTGTTTCGAAATAGGTAGGGGTAAGAGAAGGTTGTCCCGAGCCTGTCGTCATGCGAGCACCAAGTGAGGATGCTGTGAATGAAGAGGTACCTATAGCTGCATCGAATGGGCAATATTTTCTTATACTATTGCTTTGTCTATGTTTGTGATGCCATGCTCTTTTATTTGTTGCCACAGGGAGTGTATGGTGTCATCTCGGCCAGTTTGCCTTTAATACCCATCATCAAACGTTTGGTGGAAGATTTGAAATCTCTTCGCCCGTTGGTCAGAGAGGAAGAGTTGCCAAGGGAGGAGGCCGGTGATGTGAGCGTTCTAGCTGTTAGTTCAGATGGTCACCAGGGGAATGCTCTTAATGGGGATGGTGTGCTTGCTGACACTGATGTAATCGTTGAGGCTCCTATTACAGCGTCCAAGCAGCCCCCCATGGGCCTTGTGGCAGGTGAACGGGCGGACGCGCCTATTGTACGTGACTTAGGGGTAATCATGTGACAACCGCCATCAACGAGGATATCCCAGGGATTCAGCTTTCATCGGCGGACGTTCAAGTGCCCTGATCATCCCGAAGTGATAGTTGCGCCAACACAAGTGGAGGTCGATGAGTTGGACTCGCAGGCTGGTGACTTGGACCTTACTATTGAACTCGAGATAGTGCACCAAGAGCTGATAGATTGTTACGAGAGGGGAGATATGGTACCTATTGGTTCGCAGTGTCTGATCCCTTTGTGGTTCAAGGAGTTCGCAGACGGGAGCAATTCGTCGTGTCCCGCAGTGTTGTTGACACGGTGGCGTTGATTATTTAGAAGGGGTGGTTGCCTTCTACTGAATTTCTGTCTGTGGTTGAGTGCCTCCTTAAACACGGTGGCGGGTTTAATGAACTCCATTATGTCATTAGTCGGTGGAGTCACTATCATGGTCTCTGTTCACCCGGTGGTTGAAGACGTGTGTCTCATTCGTTGCGATGGGCTTTAGGATGGAGCATATCGAAGAGCGAGTGATTCGTATGGCTCACGTGTTCTGGAAGACTGGCTATAAGGAATCAAACCCAATTTTTTCCAAGGGCCTGGATGAACATCGCAGGCGATTGAAGGTTGTGGATGCCTATATTTTGAAGACAGAGGAGAAGATAACGGCTCTTCTTGATGAAGCCGCTCGCCAACAGAAGGTGTTGTCACAGTTGCGGAAAGAGCGTCAAGAAATTGTCACCATTCAGGAACAGAGGGCGAGTTTAGTGAAGATCACCGAAATTCACAACAAGTGGTTTTGTGAATAGGAAATTTGTATCTTGTAGTTTACTGTTGTTTTGTAAATATTCAACTACTGATACCATTCAATGAAAGCGACTTTTTCTTATGTGCACAGTATTCTGTTTTGTCATTTTGTGTCGTATATATTTGCTATCCCCATTGGCCTGGTTTGTTACTTTTCCGAGAACCTATCATGATCTTGAGATTGCACTCGGGGTTGCCAGGGTAACTTGAAATCGCGCCTGGGGATGCTAGGGCTTTTCTAGGGTTGCCAAGGTAATGTGAGATTGCACTTGGGGTTGCCAAGGCCTTTCTGGGGCTGCCAGGGATATGAAAGATCGCACTTGGGGTTGCCAGGGAATATGAGAGATCGCACTTGGGGTTGCCAAGGCCTTTCTGGGGTTGCCAGGGAATATGTAATCGCACCTGGGGCTGCCAAGGCCTTCTTGGGGTTGCTAGGGAATATGTAATCGTGTCTGGGGCTGCCAGGGCCTTCCAGGGGTTGCCAGGGAATATGTAATTGCGTATGGAGTTTCTAGGGAATATATAATCGCGCCTGGGGTTGCTAAGGCCTTCCTGGGGTTTTCAAGGAATATATAATGTGCCTGGGGTTGCCAGGGCCTTCCTGGGGTTGCCAAGGAATATGTAATTGTGCTTGGGGTTTCTAGGGCCTTCCTGGGGTTGCCAGAGAATATGTAATCGCGCCTAGGATTGCTGGGGCCTTCTTGGGGTTGCTAGGGAATATGTAATCGTGCCTGGGGTTGCCAGGGAATATGAGATTGCACTGTTGGTTCAATCACAAAGCATGGTTAGTAAATCACAATAATCCATAGTGGGTAGAGCATTGTACAAAAAGGTAAAATATTCATAGTGGCTAGAGCATTGTGAAAAAAGGTAAAATATTCATTCATTTATTTAACTTGATTCGCTGTGTACAAGTACAGTGAGACACTATACAAGTTATGTTATCATATGCAGCTCTCCTACCAACAATTACAAAAACAACGTAGTAGGATCAAAATAACTATGATGGGAAGTGCTACTGAATTGGTCTGTAGCTGCCAACCCGGTATGTATGACACCCATAATCTTTCTGATTAAAACCTCCAGTGAGTTGCTCTGATTCTGGAAAATTCTCTGTTATCTTTCCCTCCATATGCTCCAAGTGATTGCTGCTAGGATAGTATTCCACAATTTCTTCCCTTTCATATTAAAGCCCCTTAACTTCCAAGAGTGTAGGTGGTTTGTGAAGCTTCCGGGAAAACACCAGGACAGGTTAAACAGTTGAAAGAAATAAGAGTAAACCTGTCTCACTAGTTTACATTTCAGAAATAGGTGATAAGAAAATTCCCTTTCATTCTTGCACATCACACACCTATCTGATTGTATAATAACTCTTCTTATTATATTATCCCTGGTCAGACATTTGTCAAGTGCTACCGACCACACCAAAAAAGCTACCTTGGATGGTATATGAGTTTGCCATACTTCCTTGAATGGGAAATTTGCATTTGGACTGCCAGTTAAATTAACACACAAAGTTTTAACAGAGAAAATACACGATTTCTCCCATTTCCAAAACAGAGAAAATACATGATTTCTCCCATTTCCAACTCCTTTCATCCTCTTGATCTGGATGAGGGGCAGATATATCTATAAGATTGAGCAGAACAATCAGGTCCTCAATTCTAGAGTCACTCAGGTCCTTTCTTAGAGCTGGGCACCAGGATACAACCCCATCTTGTACTTGATTTGAATGAATTACTCTAGCATCTCTGTTTTCTGCAATAATGGATAGAGCAGGGAACCTCTCCATTAAAGCTCTGTCTTGACACCAAACATCTCTCCAGAATTTTATTTTGTTGCCCTTTCTCATTTTCAGCTCAATACCTTGCAAGAACTTGCTATGAAACTTTCGAATTCCTCTCCAAATAGAGCAACCATGGGGGCCTTCAGCCACTCACGGGTTCCAGTTGAAGTTATTAAAACCAATTTTTTCTGCAATAATTTGTATCCACAGGAGATGTGGTTGGGGGGAAAATATCCAGAACCAAAAGCTGGTTCTGGAAGACACACTTGTTCCCATTGTACTGGGTGAATTTTATCCTTCTTCTGCTAATCTATCCACAGGAAATCCCTTTGTATCTTCTCCAATTTCTTCTGCAATTTATGGAGGCACAATGCATGTCCTTATTTTATCTGAAGTGTTTGGTTTTATTGTTCCACATAATATGGATTTCATAAAGAGAAGAATAGATTTGTGATGTATTAGTTATTTGTTTATGTTTACTCCAATGGGTAGCAAAGATAGAAGAAAAAGATCATAGACCAGCATTACTGTCTACCCCCATGTATTTTACATCAGGTTCCCCTTGGAACCTCATCCTAATAGATATTAGATTGGTTAACCCCTTGCCTTACTAAGCCATCAGCCATGCTGTTAGCACTTATAGGGATCTATGGGTAGCAAAGTTGAAGATGAGGCATCTTGGCTGTCTATGTTTGATGTGCATATCTTCTACTTTAACATCTCATATTATCCTGCATTACAGGTAGAAGTGCTATTCTTTATCGCTTTTCTGTTGACACTTTAATTTTATTTTTTATTTTTCTTAACAGTGATCTTTACAATCTCATAGATTTGTGTACAGCAAGGAAGGAGCAGCTGGTGTGCAGTCTAAGAGGGGTGTCAATCCTAGGGCCACAAAAATCTATTGCTTGATACCCTTCTGTGTTCATATCTGTTTTCTATGAGACTTTAAGAGATGCATGAGACATGGTGTCAGTCTATTCTTTCTAAGCTTGCTTATCTCAGCATTAGTGCAATGTTGCAGGTATGACCTGTTGTAACTTCCTGGTTGAATTTAAGGACTCATGGTACTTGGCTTTGTGCACCTTCATAGCAATTTCAGTGCATCTTAGGGAACATTTCCTATTACGGGTAACTAAGGTGGTGGAGAAATTGCAGGATTTGGACTGCTTATGGTGTTATAGAGATAGACAGAAAGAATACAACATTTCTGGCTTCATTAGAAAAGGTGACCTCCATGTGCGTAATGTGACTCCTGATCAAGGTAAACATCCAGTATAACTAGAAACTAAATCATTTTCTAATTTTGATTTTGAACTTGCATGAGTTCAATGTGCAATAAATTGTTTGATGGCTTTACATGTTCCATGAAGAATAACCTGTCTTTTGTTGGAACTGATCAAACAACCCATAGAGAACTAACAGTTTGTTTCACTTCAGTGAGGAAAAAAATAATTTTTTGGGCCTTTTTTGTTCAACAAAGTGTCTTTCATTTTAACAATATATTTTGTTTCATGGTAAAAAGTTGTTAAAGAAGTTTCCTTTCTATACAAACAATAGAAAAGTGCAAAAATTCTCCTTTGATATAAAATCTGTGAAAGAAAGAAAAGAGGAGAGAAGTTGAAGAGAATGGGGAGAAGCCAAAATTAGGTCTGGCTGCCCCTTTCATTAGCTTATATATCCATAAATAAAACTGAATACAAAGACAAGTATTCCCTTAATAAGTTGGCTACTTGTAAAAGCTAAGTAAGTCTCTTAGTTTAAACATACTAATGGGCCTTGGGCCCAATAATTCTCTAACTATGCTTTGTAAATAAAAACAAATATTATCAGCCCAAAACTCAACACTCCCCCTCAAGTTGGGAATAGATGTCATACATTCCCAACTTGCGTAGATCATGCTCCAACTTGTTTCTTGTAACACCTTTTGGAAGAACATCAACAAGCTGCAAGTCAGATGCAACATATGGTAAGCACACTTCTTCGGATGTCACCCTTTCTCTTATAAAGCTATCCACTTCTATATGCTTCGTCTTATCATGCTGAACTGGGTTGTAGGCAATGTTAATTGCTGCTTGATTGTCACAATATAGCATCATAGGTTCTTCGGCCTCAACTCCAATCTCCCCAAACACGGATCGGACCCAGAGGAGCTTTGAAACACCATGTGCCATAGCTCTGTATTCATTTTATGTACTTGACATTGCTACAATTGATTCTTTCTTACTCCTCCATAAAATTAGATTACCTCCAACAATAGTGCAAACTCCTAATGTTGATCTCTTGCCATTTAGGCACCCTGCCCAATTAGCATCTGTGTAAGCCTCTAACTTCAAATGTCCATGGTCAGCAAACAATATGCCTCTACCTAGGTGTCCCTTTAAATAGGAAAGTATCCTATCAATGGCTTTCCAATGCTGAACTCATAGGGCATGAATGTATTGGCTCACCACACTCATTGCATAAGAGAAATCTGGTTGTGTCATACGTAAGTATAGCAACTGACCCACCAATTTCTGATACCTTCAAACATCCTTTACTAGCTCACCTTCTGAAGCATTTATCCAATGGTTTTGATCAATAGGTGTATCGGTTGCCCTTGCCCCAAGTTTTCCTATCTTATGTAGTAAATCCAAAACATATTTCCTCTATGAAATAAAAATCCCATGCTTGGACCTTGCTACCTCAATTTCCAGAAAATACTTAAGCTCCCCAAGATCCTCAGTCTCAAACTCTTTGTGCAGATACTTCAAGGTATCAATCTCACTCAGATAATTTCCTATGACTACAATGTCATCCACATACACTATCAGTATTGACACCAGTGATCCCCCTCCTTTTCACAAACAGAGTGATCAGATTGAGTTTGAGTATAGTCAAATACAATCAATGCACTTCTAAACTTGTTAAACCAAGCTCTGGGTGATTGCTACAAACCATATAAAGATTTCTTTAATCTATATACTTGTACTTTAGCTACATCACTGTAAAAACCAGCTGGAAGATCCATGTACACCACTACACCTCCTCTTGTAGGTCTCCATTAAGAAAAGCATTTTTCACATCAAGTTGAAAGAAGGGTCCAAGAGTATGTAGCTGCTAGTGATAGGAGAATCCGAACTGAACTCATCTTTGTCACTAATGCAAAAGTCTCCAAGTAATCTATGCCATAAGTTTGAGTGTACCCTTTTGCAACCAACCTCGCCTTGTACCTTTCTATTACTTCCGTTACCCTTGTACTTCACTGTATAAACCCATCTACATCTAATTGTCTCCTTGCTATCAGGTAAATCTACAATCTCCCATGCCTAATTTTTAATCAATGCTTTCGTTTCCTCCTGCATAGCTGTCTTCCACTCAGGTTTGGAGAGAGCCCCACTAACACTCTTGGGTATAGACATAGAGTCGAGGGAGGAAAGGAAGGTCTAATAGGAAGGAGATAATCCACTGTAGGAAAGATTGTGTGAGGTGTAATGAGCACTATACTTCCTCTTCCCTTTTTGGAGTGCAATAAGGAGATCTAAGTCATCTGCAATGGTGTTAGGAGCAGGGGTAGTAGTATCAATAGGAACTAAACCATCAGAAGAAACAAGACGCATACCTTGGTCTGTGTTAATCGAACCTGGAATCTCCGATGAGCCGATAGGGAGTGACATGGGTTCCTTTGCTATGGAATCAACCTCCCTGTGCTATCATAGGCGTTGTCGTGTAAAACATTGAGAGGCAAGATGCAATAGAGGTGGCAAAGTGGTTGGCGTAGGTGGGTCAAACATTAGAGTGGACAAAGGAACTGGGACAAGAAGTGGTATAGATTTCTCACTTCCTTCCCCAAAACACTCCCCTTGAGAAGAACCCCCCGAGAAAAAAGGCGTGGACTCAAAGAAGGTGACATCTATAGTAACATATCGACTCTCGGAGATTGGATCGTAACAACAATACCCCTTCTGGTTTCCTGCATATGCAAGGAAGACACACTTCTTCGCCTTAGGGTCCAACTTTAAGCCGTGAGGACCAAGAATATGGACAAAACATACACATCCAAAAACCCTTAAAGGAATAAGGAACATCTCTCCCTCGGGGAAAAGAAGGCTGAATGGAGTGTTGTATCCAAGAACACGAGAAGGTACCTGATTAATAAAAAAAAATTGCTATAAGAACTGCATCACCACAAAAACGAACTGAAATTGCAGAGCTCACCATCATGCTTCTTGCTACTTTTACAATATGTTTGTTTTTCCTTCTTGCTACACCATTCTGTTGTAGAGTGTACGTACAATTGCTCTGGTGGACTACTACATGCTCCAATAGGTATGATTCCAAGTTTTTCTCAAAGTATTCCCTGGCATTATCTGATCCATAGTTTTCAAGGCAATGCCTAGGTAGGCGCTTAGGTGACAAGGCACCCTTGGAGGCTCGCCTCGCCTAATCGCCAAGCAGTTTTCTATAGCGTTTTATAAAAAACTTTTATATTCTTAATTTGTAGGTTATAATGATAAAATAGACATTTTTAAACTAAAATGTTCATTTTATGTGTTTATATACTAATTTCTTTTTATTATTTTCTTATTTGTTAGGGTTTAATCAACACAAACATTGCTAAATGGTGTATTGAACCCTCAAAGACTTCAAAACCTGAACCAATAAGTAAGGAAGAACATAAAATGGTGTCTAATCAACACACTTTCTTCTTTTTCTTTACTAATTTTGTGTGATTACATACTAATTTCTTCTTCTTCTTCTTCTTCCACCTTTTCTTTTCTTCTTTCCCTATAACAGAAATAGGGGTTCAGCCCCTATATTTTTTTGAATTTTCTTTTCTTTCTTTTTTTTTTTCTAATGAATATGTTGGAATATGCTGATTTTCTATACTTTAGTATGAAGTTTATACTTTTCTTATGAAAATTATGGATATTTATTAAGGAAATATGATAATGGAACCTAGGGGACTACCCTAAAATACATGTTTTTACTTTTTACTTAAAAAAATCCTTCGCCTAGGTGACGCCTTGGCGCCCACCCAAGCGACTAGGCGACAATGCGCCCCCCTATCGCCTAGCCTTGCCTTGGCGCCTTGAAAACTATGATCTGATCTAAACACTTTCACTCATACCCCAAACTGCGTCAACACCATTTGATGGAATTGTTGAATCAAAGAAGGTACCTTATCACGGAATCTCATCAAGTATATCCAAGAGTGTCGAGAATAATCATCCACAAACAGAAGAAAATACCAATAGTCGCCCATAGAAGAAATATGATATGGTTCCCACACATCAGCATGAACAATATAAAAAACAGAAGAGCATCTTTTATTGCTTACTTGAAAAGAATGTCTACAATGCTTTCCAAGTTGACAACCCTCACACTCCAATCTGGACAAACTGACAGAGTCAAACAACTTTGGAAACAAAATACGCAAAGAAGCAAAAGACAAATGTCCTAACCGATTATGCCAAAGCATAATTTGACCCACTGACTTTGACTCATTGTTCTCGCTGACATGATGACTTTCTGACGACTGGGAAGCACAACAAGAAGATAGATTTCATTCACCTCACGACCATTCCCAATCGTCGTCTTTGATTCCATATCCTACAAAACACAATGACTAGGAGAAAAAAATCACTAAACAGTTCAAATTCTTTGTCAAGCTACTAATAGAGAAAAGATTAATGCTCAGTCTAGGTACATGAAGGACATAAGGTAGGGTAATGGTATCGGTTATCTCAACAGACCCTTTCCCAACAATAGGAACATGTGATCCATCAACTGTGGAAACTCTATCTTTGCTAGAGTAAAGATGGTATGAGGAGAAGATGGTGGAAATATTGGTCATATGTTCGGAGGCTCCCGAGTCTATAATCTAGGGAGGTTCTCCCTTACCTATAGTGGATGCATAATTTGCAATGGCATGTGAACTACCTGTATGTGCAAATGAAGTAGAATGACTACCTTCTGATCCACCTGCATCTTGCTGCCCACCTAATAATGAGCTGGAATTGGCTGTATCCCTTTGACTCAAAAACTTTCCATATCTCTCCAATTCGGCTCTCACTGCAGCTGCTGCAATAAACTCTAGAGAAGCTGTAGTAGGTGGTCTTAATAAATCACGTCATTGCGATATTCACATTTCCCCTCTTGTTTCTGAGCCGGCTCAGTATACGGTGTGGGTAAAGCTTACAATAGGTATCTCTAGTATGTTTAGATTCTTACAATAGTTACAAATCGGGTGTTTCTTGTCCTCCTTCCTTGGTTCATTTCCAC